AACTTTCAAACGCGGTGCCGTTTGCGCGGACGGAGCACCATGCGCTGTTATTGGCAAGTGTGTATACCAAAGATGTGAATTGTTTAATTCGCAAGAATAATCAATAAACTCGATAAATACGCTTAATTTCTCTTTTCAGGTCAATTCTAGAACGGAACGGATCGGCAGTGGATGCTGCGCTAGCAGCGCTAATATGCAACGGACTCGTGAATATGCAGAGTCTAGGTCTCGGTGGTGGATTTTTGATGACTATTTATCAAAGATCTACACGCCAAACTTTCGTTCTCAATGCAAGGGACCGCGCACCTTTGGCAGCGAATTTTACAATGTACGCTGGCAAACCCGCAAATGCATCTAGATTCGGTAAATTTTGAAAAATTTTTCGATAAACAACTAATCGTATGAAAAAATATTTAATACTGCCGGATTTTAATTGACAGGTGCACTGGCAGTCGCCGTACCCGGTGAACTGGCTGGTTATTGGGAAGCTCATCAACAATTCGGTAAATTGCCATGGGCGGATTTATTCAAACCGAGCATCAACCTCTGTGAAAAGGGCTATGTTCTAACATTAGTACAGTATGACGGACTTTTATATAATAAGAAGAGCATTTATAATGATCCAACTTTGAGGTATAAACTTACTAAATGTAGATACAAACCATACATAATGAATGCTGAAATATTTATGGCAGTATATATGAAATGTATCCTTTTTTTAATCTTTTAGAGAACTGTTTGTCGATCCTGCAACTAACGAGTTTCGTAAACCAGGCTCTGTAATTAAACCCCACATGCTTTGCGAAACGCTACGGACTGTTGCTAAGAAAAACGCAACCGAATTTTATAACGGTACGATTGGACAACTTCTCGTAGACGATTTACAAGAACAAGGAGGAATAATAACGATGAAAGATCTTAATGAGTACAGGTAATAACATTCAGGAATTTCTTTTTTCTCTAAGTACAGATAATTCTCTAAGTACAGATAAACGCCGCATCACAAAGAGAGCTCTTGAGTATATATTCTTCTTACTTTTGCCTAGAGTTTCATGGAATCAACCGATACAATCAAATTTTTCGAACGGGTTGGAACTCTTGACTACAGGATTGCCTGGTAGCGGAGCTCTTCTCTCGTTTATTCTCAACGTCTTCGATGATTACGGCTTCACGCCAACCAACATAGCTGACTTTAACGCAACAATTCTCACATATCACAGAATGATAGAGACTTTCAAGTATGCGTTCGCGTTAAGGACGAAGCTGGGTGACGGAACTTTCATCGATATGACCGAAGTAAACATATCATTCGATCCTTTTTCTTCTGAATCTTATTGAGTTTGTTATCAATTAATAATTGCATGCTATTTTAATTCTTTTAAAGATAATCAGAAACCTGACATCGAAGAGCTTCGCGCGCTCGATACGAGAGAAAATAGATGATACAAGAACGTGGCAGGATCCACAACATTATGGTTCTCCTGTCTATGCTAATGTCGAAGACCATGGTACCGCGCACGTGTCTGTGCTGACGCAGAATGGTGATGCAGTATCGGTTACCAGCACTATCAATTTTTAGTAAGTCTCCTAGGCCGGATATTTATTAATCGATTTTTATATTTGAGACTGTCTTAAAATATCATAAGTCAATCAGGAGGTTATATTATCATTTTAAAACATTACTTAAAACAATCTTAAAATAAGAATGAATTATAAATACCATCTATAAAATCGCATTGTTTACGGATCGTAAAAATAATCCTTTATGTCTTTTTTTAACGATTTTGTAGTTTCGGAAGCGGAATAGTCAGCAAAAGAACCGGCATTTTGTTAAATAACGGCATGGATGACTTCAGCATTCCGTCGCAGTTCAATTACTTCGGTGTGCCGCCAAGCCCCAACAATTATATCGCGCCCAAAAAACAGCCATTGTCCTCAATGATACCATCTGTTCTGGTCGATCGGAATGGCGACATCAAAATGGTCATGGGTGCTGCTGGTGGTACGAAAATTACAACGGCAATATCGCAAGTCAGTAACACCTTGAATATTTAACAGCTTATGCAATTCGAATTTCTATGTAATCCAATTTGAATCTCTATTTAGCGTCACCAGTATCAACAAATCAATAGACGATTTTCACGAATAAAATCTGTATGCTTTTAGGTGACAGCAAAAATACTTTGGATGGGGCGAACGGTCAAGGAGGCGGTGGATTCGGCGAGGATACATCACCAGCTATTTCCGCCCAAGGTATCTTACGAATATGGGATTCCTAAACAAGTGGTCGATGGTCTGAAACGTTTAGGACACGTCACGGAACGCTACAAACTTCGCGGCAGCGTAGCTTGTGTCGTACTGTATGAAAATTCCACAATTTTCGCGAACGCTGATTATCGCAAAGGTGGCGATGTGTATGGAATCAATTGATTCGCATGCATGAGTCACCTTCCGGTGATCCAGCCATCATTTTGTAGCACAAATCTTCTGCGAAAGATAAGAGACTTTGTTCAATGCCGAACAAAATCTCATGACTATATAACACGGATGTATGCGATCAATCTTGTTATTGTTATTGGCGAAATATTCGTGTTTGAAAGATCGATGTGTCAGTATTACGGTTCAATATAAAACTTTTACACTTTCTCGCTCATTGGTCGCATCTTGTTCTTATCGCTTCCTCTTTCCATAATATCTATATTATCGTGAATTTATCTTTCCTTTAATTTTCGTAATATTGATGTACGCAAACCTGGCAATGTAGAACACGAAAATCAAGGAATTTTTTTTTTTTCACAATTAATATATGTTTGTATGATTCAAATTCTCAGCACAATTGTATGACGCTCCATGAACGTGATGTTTATTGAAAATCTCTAGCCTTGCTGCGCTATTTATAGGCGTAAAGCCTTGATGTCGATATCACTGCGATTATTTTCTGTTTTAAACTATTTTGGATCACGTACCAATATTTCACTTAGACCCATTTTCATAGTATATGGTTACCTAAAGATTAAAAAAGATTAAAGGTTATCAACAGATTCATTAATTTATTCACGAATTTCTCGATTATCTTTAATCTTTAGGTAACCATATATTGTGAAATCTGTAAAATTCTCTAATAATCGTTCTATAATATTTTTTAAAAATAATCTTGTTAATCAATAAAATCAAATTTTAATAATTGACGTAAAGTGATACACTATTTTGATGATAGCACTTTTCTAGAGGGAAATTATTTTTCGTATTCTATTTTCGTATATCACTGCTTGATATGTTTCTCTCTTTCTAATCTTCTTGCTTTAGAGTTTTTTGCAGCGTCAAGCAGCGACGCTTGGAAAGTGTAAATATAAGGCATTGTATTAGCATTCTCCTTCTACAGTTCGATAAAACCTGTTTCGTCTGAAGTCGCCTGGGAGGATTCTCTCGATTAGTTAAGAGCAGATCGGGGGGAGGGGGAAGCCTTAATGCCAGCCATCAGGATCAAATCGATTAACGGTACTACGTATCCAATTTCCTTTCGTCTGGTTGTCGTCAAATTCGTTCTTCGAATTCGATCGATTTCCTTTATACGGCACTTTTATAAAATGAGAAGGAGAAAGAAGAAGAAGCTGCATGACCGAACTTTGTCATCTGCTGACTTAGCGGAGATAGTACATTCTACAAGCTATAATTAAATGTCGGCGAAAGAAGTGCATGAAAACGAGCACGTATTTCGTGCTTATGATCGAAATAATTCATCGTTCGTATCACAATGTTTCGGCCTTGAAAATAAAATGCGCCATGAAAGAAAGAAGAAACTGAGGTTTGAAATACAAACGATTCGCAGACGCGATATTTAATTATAAATTATAACATCAACGCGACGTTATAAGAACATCAAATAAAAAATTAAATAAATATTTGAATATAAAACATCTGTTTGTAACATTAATTAACATCGGTGAACTACTTAAATAAATATTATTTCATCGCTGATGTAAAATATAGATTTTGCAAACATATCAGATTTTCCCATAAATGATAAGTGTTGAATATCATAAAGAATTTATTGTTTATCAATTTTACTACCTTTACGAGGTTTAATCGATTATTCAATGTAATGCTTACTCAAACAGAACACAAGTCGTCAAGTATGACGTCAAAGTGATTCCAAAATGATTATTATGGCCGGTATTCATACTCGATTATTACATTTAAGATCATCTTAAGTGCAGTCTTGAACCAATAAGACGTCATGAACCAATCAGAAAGCCGCATTAGCATCTTAAGATATTACTTAAAATATAAATATCGACTATGAATATTGGTCTAAAAGTCATTTTTCAGTCACCTCATTTTGTTGTCATGTTATCATCAATTGTTATTCTGTTTATATAATGTCAAGGAGGGAAACTTAGATTATTGCTAAATAAAATTCATATGTAAAATTATATAGCTTATAGGAAAGCTCGTCACGAACAAGGCGTGTAATTAAAAAATACAGATTAATTTAATCGAGAGATTTCGTCGGTGAGAGACGCGTCTTTTACGCTTCAATAACTTCGCCTTGTACATTGACATCGTACGACGTAGAAACAAGCTCGATTGATTGCGCATGTGTTAATGCGTGATATCAGCTTTCCTCAGCGGCACCACGCGATGATATCCATATTCGCTCGGTGAATGTAACAACAAAATATTTCTCAAGTTGTTTATGTCCCCATTACGAGCGTCTCGCCACACCTCCGCAAGGCGGATTGTAAGTCACATCTACTCAGTTTGCAAACGATTAGAATGTGACCTAATACGCGCTTTTCCTATCAACATATAAACATTGATTCTTAAGTATAGCTAATCCGTTTCCACCCGTTTATTTTTATTCCATTCTTTTCGGTTCTTTTTATTTTTACAAATGTTTTCAATTTGATGCAGAGAGTAATATCATAACTGCGCGATTTCTCAATGTTTTCTCAAATACTTAACAAAATAAGAAATATATCGTTTTGTAAAAGAGCTACCTTCAGAAATCTGCACTTGGCTAAAAGCAGCACTGTTACATGGCATCAGAGCGCTGGAAATACACGCTCTATAGAACTCGCAGAAGGCAATGCACTTGGACATCGGGTGAGCTTACGTGTTGGAATTTTCTAGGTCGTCTGGAACATATAGATTAGCCACGTAAGTAATAACTATTGAAAGCAACGGGAGTGAAGATCTCGTGTATGAAAAGAACCATCATCGTGAGAAATTGTTCACAATAATTAAATTATATTCTGCTTATTTTCAAATACGCGATTACGTTTCTGACAACAATGTGTTATTCAACACTTCTCAAAAATTAATTTACTACATCTACAGATTTTCAACTTGTATTGTTATGATATAGATAATAGTGTAGAAGTTATCTGCATTTATCTATTTATATTTTATATTGATATGTCAGTATAATGAAATATGAAATAATTGATTGAGGATTCAACAAAATTCCGAGTGTTTTAATTGATTATTTTATGATCGCATACAATGAAATATTTTTAAAATATGCATTTCTAATTATACAATATAATAATAATAATTTTATGTTATTCCAGATAGCAAAGTGCCTTGTTAATATGTTACTTGCAAATATATATGTATTGCTATCAAAATTATAGCAACTGAATTCATATTTGTTAGCAAATTAATGTCTTTACGATATGACAACTTTAGGCAGTAATTTGGCAACAATTTGCTGACAACTTCAAAATCTTCTTCATCAAAATTCCTACTGTTGCTGTTTATATCATAATAATAATCTATAGGATCACATAATGCTATCATATTGTCGACAACACGAAATTTGATGCTGCTATCTCTCCATTGACTGCTAACAATACATTGTTGCTTGTGTATTGCTAAGCTGTTAATATACTCAAAATCGTTGAAGAAAAATATATGGCAAATTGCATCCTAAGTAATCATAAATTCGCACTGTTTTGCTGACATGTTTGATTGTCTGAGACAATATTCTACAATATAAATATTCTGATCAAGTCGCTTAAAATTATATAAATATATACAATACTTTTAAATATATAATTCATTGTCCTTTATCTTTTTTTCATTGAACAATAAAATATTAATGATTTCAAATTAATAAAATGGTTAATAGGATATTACAATTGATAAACTAATCAACAATTAACAATTAAAGCTTGGTTAAAATCGCTCTAGTTTCTGAAAAATTACGTATGTAAGTATATTTATTGCTAATAGATCTATATAGGCTTCAACAACACAGGATCAGCTCTGCACAACAATACAGCGCGTACCTTTACAATGTTGCCAGGTGGTTCTATCTGCCCAATTATTTTCGTCCTTGAAAACATTCAACGCTACGCTTGGTGAAATATCTGAATGCATCATACGATGTATAAACTATTATACTGTAATGTTTTGACGAGCGTCCTATACATAATATTTGTCGTAACGTTGCACTATTGTGCAATTTTGTTCGCTTCTTAATTAATTTGTTTCTCTTTCTGCAACTGATACAAATAATCGAAATCCACGGGAGTTACATAATTTTGCGAAAAAATCAGATCGAAATGGAACTTCTCGATACGTTATCGACGGGATCTACGCCGCAAAAGGTTATCGTCTCGACGTATAGGTACTACGCAGTTGTATAAACAGAAGACATTTCCTTTTACTTTTTTTTTCCTATGCGGAATTAACAAAGGAAAACATGATACATTAGATTCGTGTTGAATTGTCGTCTGGTCACGTCTGGTCGAGAGAGCATTGCATCGCCATTGGCCGGCAAAGAAACCGGGCCTTGTTGCGCCGGCACGGCTTCGGCTTCGAACGAAACACGCATGAGCGGCCCGCGGAACCGGGTCGCCGTATATAAACGCGGGTCGGCGAACGCCGCGCGACCAGTAGCGAATCGATCTCCCCGGTCGAGTCATTCCAGTCGAGCGATACTTTACGTATTTACGTCGCGCCCGCGACTTTCTTTCCGCAACCGTCCCCGAGTATATCGAATCTCGTGAACTATGTCCGAGGCATACGTCGACGAATACGAGCACTTCAACTACGACTACGACAAGCACATCTTCACCTCGCACGGCGGTAAGCAGAGGAGCAAACGCGAGGCTGTCGCGCACACGAATCACTTCGACCCGAGCGGCCATTCCAGAAAGCTTCTCACCAAGCTGATGAACACCGAGCACAACAAACGGCAGACGACGAGCAAGAGCAAGGCATAAAAGGTTAGATCACCGAGTCGATTTTATTTCAATGCTCGTGCTCGATCGTCGACACGATCCGATGTAATATTTAATCAATCGCTTTTGTTCTCTCGTGAAAGTGACGTCATTTACCTTCATCCTTTACCTCACAGCAAGATTCGAGCATATTCGTTCACGTCAGTCCATCGCTCCGTAAAGACTGTCTAATACTAGGTACTTTCCATTCCATTTGATGATACTAGTTCTATTGACGTTACTAGTTCTATTTACGTTCTATTGGCTATCTTTGTTGAAGTTGAAAGTTAATAGAACGACATTATGAAATTAGCTGAATATTATCGTCAACCTTGAAGTTGGATATTTCAAACGCGTAGTATCTCAATCGTATTCATGGCAGCTTTCAGAACGATACAAAAAATTACAAATGATTTATAATTTTTCCCGATTAATTTCGCTAAATTAAAGTCTGCAAAGACTTTGTAGACACGATTTTTAATCGTTCTTCCATATTTTATCAGTTTTTATATTTTATTGTATTTTTGTCATGTGGAGAGATGGATAACAATAAAAAAATCAGAAATGGTCGCGCACATCTTTATTTTTCACTACGTCCGATGATTCAGCTTTCAAATAGCTTCGCTAGTCGAATCAGATATCCCAAACATTTCCATTGCGAATTATCGCGAAATGTAAGCGTACACCGCCCGCGCCGTATTGCGTCTTATTTCGTTATCGGTGCAGACTATCTTTGTGCGCGATGACTCACACGACGCTACAATCCATACGCGCGTGTTTATTTATCTTTCTCCTGGTTGCGTAACGCGCAGTATACATATTTCCATTTCGCGATGAACAATATTCTTTGAAAATGTCCAAACGACGCTATTGTCTCCTCATTCTCATCGATTCAATTTTTGTTTCAGATTACGGACGTTCCTATTCTCGCGGCCGGCGTCTTCAAGGATCTCATCTCACAGGGTTTTCTCACCTAAGGCGACCGGAATAAAAATATATATATTCTTTTGTTTTTACTATCGAGAATGCATTTAGTCGTAGATTCTTACTCAACGTAAGATCGGCACGATAGTTCGTACCTCATCGTTATCTTTTATTATGTCAAAAACACGGCAATCACGTTATTTGTGAGAGTACAAAATAACGTATGTCGCACTTCGCTGCTTTGCGTGAATCTGGAATTCGCATGACATTCTTTTTTTTTCTTGACTAGGATAATGTGGTGATACTATATTAATTTTTGCATGTGCTATTGTTAAATTCGTCGATAAGTTATAATCGATTGAATTTCTATTGTACGATTATGAAAAATAAAATTTATGTTCTAATAATAACAATAAGTGAATTAAAGTCGTTAATTCAAGTTTTTTGTTATAAACAATTATGATGTGATGATGTCTTTTGTTATATATGCGTGCGTTTTATTTGCATACATTATAATAATGAATAATCGTTGTTAAAAGGAATAGAGAAAAATTTTGCTATCGGCTCCTTATATCTCTAGTGATACATTACGTCATTAATACATTATGACATTAATACATTACGATATTAATACATTATGACATATTCCAAAAAAACGTGTGTAAAGAAAGCTAAATAATCGAATTCGAAAATTCATTATATTGATGTTCAATTAATATCAGATTGCCCGCATATTGTGATCGACGATGTATATTATTATTGATTCAGAATTGATATATTCTTCAATTAGTTCTTCGCACGAGAAAATTATCTAGTATTGACATATAAATATTATGGTACGATTACATAAAAAGAACTGTGAAATAAAGATAATTTCTAATTGATGAGCGTGTACTTTTGCAAATGCGTACTCTGGTACCTACATTTTTTCTTTATCTTTTATCCTTTTTGGCTTGGTTTGATCCTGTTCGTAAACTATATGTATAGTGAGTGCAAAAAGTATTCGTACAAAAAAATTTTTTATAAAAAAAGTCTTATTTGTAGAAAACATTAATTAGCATTTTTATACAATATACAATACATTCTGTTCTTCTAATATAAACAAACAAGCTTCGCATGTGTTCTGCTTTTAGAAATTAAATTTCTCGTCTTTACGAATAATTTTTCAAATGATATATTTTTTATAATTAATATATGTACATCTTTATGTATATATAATTTTAAGAAACACAGTCTATTTTATTCTTTATGAATAAATTGTTAATTACCTAACAAGAAATGATCATCAATTAAACATTGAATTGATATCAAATTGGTTGAAATCGTATCGATATCAATTCGATGACTCATTTCTCTAAATAATATTTACTTATTAAAAATAAAGTTTTTTAAAAAATATTTTCTCTGTACGAATACTTTTGCACTCATTGTATATCTATTTCTGTATCATTTTGATACACGTAATATTGGATACTGAATTCAAACAGTTTTGTTTTTGTCATTTACATATTGATAATATTTTTTTTATAATCCATTCGTAAATAAGATTTATTAGCCATATGTAAATAAGATATTATAACAAAAAAAAAAGAATTTCTCTGCGTCAGCGAAGGAAATTCTGAAATCAACATCGACAGATTCCGAATTACTTTTTTTGCTGTATATCGAGCAAAAAAGAGTGAATAAAACAGCTTCGAATAAATAATATATTATAATATTTATATCATTACAAAAAATGCAATATTACATAATGTACGAATATAATTTCGAAGGAATATTAAATAACTCAACAATATTAAATTTTACGGAGGAAGGAGAGAAATATGAGATGCATAAGTATATATAATATGACATGAAATGTAAAGAATTTATAGTTATCAATAGAAATGATGACCTATCTATATTGCATAATGAATCTTATAAATTTATGATTTATAATGTGTTATAAGTTATATATTGTATAAACATATAGTACAACGAAGATAAATATATATGAGGATATATTATCTCCGTTATGCTATATGTATATTTGCTATGTTATGCTATATGTAATTTTTAATTTATAACATGTAACGTATTATAAAATATAAATCAAATTGATACAATTAGATATATAAAGGGCAGTGTAAATGTAACGAAGATATAATTTATGTATTTCTGTAGGAATATATAATTTTAAATACAATAGCAAAAATACGTAATAAATTTCAACACATTATTTTATTACATGTTATTGCCAATATCTTTTCTTATTTCAAACGCGCGCGCGTTGAGCGTTATCGACTCAAAGTCGGCAAGTCAAACCGCTACTACTGACTCAATGAATTAATGCATCTCAGTATACACACAGTATACTTATAAATGCAATAATAAATAAGTGTGTGTGTGTGTGTGTGTGTGTGTGTGCGCGCGCGCGCGCGCGCGCGCGTGTGTGTGTGTGTGAGGGGGTATATATATACATGTCTTCATTATTACATTTGTGCAAAAAAAGTAGGAAATAAGAATTTTTCAATTTTTTTTATAATATATTTTTTTTAATAGTCAACTATAAGAGACAGTGTTCCTTGTTGCGCATTATTTAATATAAATAACAATAATATATATAGATAATGGAGGTGGGCTATTCCGTCAGTTTCAAGTAATACGAAAATTTA